CACAGAACTGAAAACTAGCCCTTGTAGTGGTGAAACAGACCGCCGTGTTTCCCTGATGGGATCGGAAAACACCTCTAAGCTGACCCGCTGAGACTGGTTACCAGGCTTATAATCTCTGAACTCAGGCCGCAAATCTGTACCTTCCTGTGATGACTGCCTCAAACCAAGCCAAAGTGATCTCTCTTTTCAGCCGACAATCAGTCTGCTTTCCTCACATACCTACAATCATACCCACATTCCTTTCCCACATGCCTTTCAAGTGTATGTCCTACATTCTGACATTCTGGTCCACATTCCAGGATTCTCCACATGCCTTTCAAATGTCCTACATTCTGACATTCTGGTCCACATTCCAGGATTCCCCACATGCCTTTCAAGTGTATGTCCTACATTCTGGACCACTTTCCTACGAAGTGAAATTCCAGGAAACCCTTGCGACATTGTGGAAATTGAACAGATCATTCACAACTGAGCAGACACATGCTGATTCACATTCCTGTTCATGCCCTGGCCCCGGAGGCTAATTGCCAGTTACAAACATAAAAGAAGAGCAGTATATAAAATAACTAAAATCTACAAATGAAAGGTATTTGTCTAAAATTATAGCTATGTCTAAAACTATGTCTGAAGGGTTTGACTTCTCTCTTGTAAAGACTTGTAAACTGAAGAAGACATGTGTATATCTGTAAGTCAGAGTCCTTCTCAGCATTTCCCCCAACATGTTCAGGGTCACAATGTTGATTCGGAATGCCACAAAGAGGAGTATCCATTGTGATCTAATACCGGTATGTCTTTAAGTTTAACACGTTGCAGTAAAGTTAGTCTACGGGTATTTGTTGGAAGGCTTTGCTGTAAGAGGAGAGCATCCATTTGAAGGGAGTGTGAGGTTGTGCCCATTTGGACCAAGCATCTACCTAATTCTGCTCTACAGGCGACATTGCTACTATTTCTAAATAGATATAATAAGAATTCTAGGAATTGTACAGGCATTTTTGTCCACAGGCATGCGGAATGTCCACAGGCATTTCTCTGACCCACATCTATGCCCGCATTCCTGGAACCCTGAAGACCTGTCTGCCCCAGATGGTCCTACTTTCTGTGACCCCGGGGCTCGTTCACTATGCACTCAGGGGAGGAGTGTACTGTATCTGTCTAGAAAAAAATCATGAAATGATGGCAGTGCCATGCAAACAATAACCCTAACAGCAACCACCGTCGCCATGGCAATGTATGTTTTCATTGCCAGTCTTGTTGCTTCTGTATTTAACAAAAATGTGTCGTGTATCATCCAAGCTGCGCCCATAGGCATGTTTTTCTGATTCATTTCAGGAGACCTAAGTCGTCTAACTTAGGCCACAGCAAGTAATTTTTATGGATGACATCAGCGCGTGCATTGATTTTTTTTTTAATTTTCGCTTTATTTTAGAAAACAACAAATTTTGTTGTCCTCTGACAGTGGTCCACATGCCGAAAATGGGCAAAGGTGTCTGTTGCCATACCAGAATGTAGATGACCGATAAATATGAAGAGAGGAGAAAATACAATGCTCTGAGTTATTGTTTTTATTGTCTTTTTACTTTGATGCACTTTGATCATTCCTTTTAATCTTAGATGTGATGTTCCCACTGAATCAAAAGCATTGTGTACAATGATTGAAAACTTTTATTTTTCAGTGACAATGGATGTTGTAATACTAGTAGTTGACAGTAAACCCAGCACAATACAAGTATCATTTCATGTTTAACAAGATTTCTGGTGTCAAAGTTTGAAAATGTAGGAATCTTGTTTTTTTGCCCGCCTTGTTTTGTTTTCTCCCTATCGCATTAGATTTGGAGTCTGCGGAGGATGTCATCCATAAAATTTACTTGCTGTGGCCTTACATGTATCTCATGGCGTACTTACTATTTACCTGCAGACTATTTTCTCTAGCTTTAACTTAACTCTAACTTTACTCTAAAAAGCGTTATATATTGTACATTCTGTTATATCTTTCGGCACGGTGTCCGGAACTTTTCTAGTAACTACTGTATATATACAGACCATGTATACAAGTCTTTAAAAAAGACTACAACGATAACAAGCAAAAAGACAACTTATTAGCGTAACCAACCAGTATCCAGTTTTAAAGCGAGTTTTACTGGTTTTCTATTATCGGGTTAAATATGTAAATAATATCAAATTCAAACATAGTTCAGCTAACCTGTTCGTAGAAATCTTCCTTTCCAACAGGTTTAGTTGCTTCCTTCGGGCAGCTGAAAATGGCCTAGGTTTGGTCTCGTCTCGGCTCAGGACAGACGGCTTTTGCCATTGCAGCGTGTGTAGCTTGTAATTCGACAGGAGAATAGCTTTAACGTCTTGTTTGAATGGAGGACAAAATATCTTTGCCAGGAGCCCAGGATATAGTGGATAAAGTGGTACTCGCTGAGTCGGCTGGTACGGTGTACATACATGCAGACGTATACGAGTCCGTTTCACCACTGCTTAGATTTATTTATTTTGGCCACAGCAAATAAATTTTATGGATGACGTCTTCCGCAGACTCCAAATCTAATGCGCGCGGGCGAAAAAAAACAAGGCGGGCCGCAAAAAACAAGGTTCTTACATTTTGAAATGTTGACTCAATCATTGTACAAATGGTTTTGATTCAGCAGGAACATCACATATACACAGCCAGCATCACATATCACTGCATCAAAGTAAGAAACAAAACATAAAATCAGAGCCTTGTCTTGTCTCCTCTCTCTATAGTTATCTGCCATCCACCTTCCGGCATGGCAACAGACATCTTGGCCTATTTTCGGCATGGTGACCACTGTCAGAAGGCAACAAAATGCGCGCGCGGATGTTATCCATAAAAATTACTTGCTGTGGCCTTATTGGGCTGTCCAGACTAGTTAACAATAAAAGTACTTCAACGCGTTACACTTCAACGGATGTTGAAATACGGGCTTAAGTCCCTTGAAACCCAACCTGTTGTGTCCTTTTTTTCTTGCTCTTTAGATGTATCCCTTTTATCTAAAGACAAATTGAAACTTTGATGTCGTCTGAAAGTTTCCATCTCGCTGAAGAAACAAGCTAAGTGCAGACAATCAGAACTACAGATGCATGGCCGTTTCTACACCCACACATTTAATCTGAAGCTTTGCAAAGGCCCCGAAAGGTACTCTCCAAGCAGAGGTTTGGGTTTTGGGGGTATTTTTAGCGTGTTTTTAGCCTTTTTATCGGAGTTTCTCTTTTGCACTGAATTTTTCCCCATCAAACCCTGGTCAAGCTGCGAATATATATATAT